TTGACATGAGTTTCATCTTTCCTGTCCTTATGAATCTTGAAAAGAAATTTTTAAGGATTTTTTCCTATATATTTCTATGTAAAACTTTGATTGGGCCCCATCCTACCCACGGAGGTCTTGATTTTAACAAACTTGAATGTACACTTCTGGTTCTATGCACTATGCACTATACACTATGGTTCTTCATAAGAAGATTTATATTTCTAAATAAAGAAGTTTGATCGGGCATTGTGGCCCCACCCTACCCACGGGGGGGGGGGGGCATGATTTGAACAAACTTGAATGTAAACTACCTGAGGATGATACAACATGAGCTATAAGCTTTAAGAAAATTTTTATGGATTTTCCCAATATATTCCTATGTAAAACTTTGATCGGGCAATGTGGCGCCACCCTACCCACGGGAGTGATTTGAACAAACTGGAATGTACACTACCTAAGGATGATTCAACATGAGTTTCATCTTTCCTGTCCCTATGAATCTTGAGAAGAAAATTTTTATGGATTTTTCCAATATATTCCTATGTAATACTTTGATTCGCCATTGTAAACCCATCCTATCCCCAGGGGTCATGATTCAATCAAAATTGAATGAATTCTACCTGAGGATGATTCAACATGAGTTTCGTCTTTCCTGTCACCATAAACCTTGAAAAGAAGATTTTAAAAGATTTTTCCTACATATTCCTATGTTAAACTTTGATCGGTCATCGTGGCCCAATCCTACCCACGGAGGTCTTGATTTTAACAAACTTGAATGTACACTATCTGAGGATGATTCAACATGAGTTTCATCTTTCCTGTCCCTATGAATCTTGAGAAGAAAATTTTTCAGGATTGTTTCCCTATATATTTCTATAAAACTTTGATCGGGCATTGTAGCCCCACCCTATCAACAGGGGTCATGATTTGAACAAACTTCAATCTACACTTCCTGAGGATGATCCCACATAAGTTTCATTTTTCCTGGACTAGTGGCTCTTGAGAAGAAGATTTTTTAAAATGCCATTACTTTTTCACTAATTCATAATTATCTCTCCTTAGAAATAGGCTTGGTCTTTCGTCTGAAGAAACCTAAATTCCCTTCACCTTAGGATACTCTGTGCCAAGTTTGAGTGAAATTAGCCCAGTATTTCTGGAGAAGAAGATGAAAATATGAAAAAATTACAACGACACCACTTACAACAACAACGACAAATACAACAGACAACGGACAAATTTAGATCAAAAAAGCTCACTTGAGCCTTTGGCTCATGTCTGTTATAAAGTAAAGACATACTGCTTTCATTTTCTATAATAAAAATTCTTTCGGAGAATCTAGGTACTGTAAAACAGGCTTTGAAAAAGATGTGATGGTTTTTTTTTAATTTTGCAGGAAACATGCGTATAAGACTATCTTCAGTTAGGACTTAAATTATGAGCACAGCTCACAATCCAAAAAACAAAAGGTCCATGGGCCACATCGCTCACCTGAGCACTAAGGGTAGGAAAAAGTAGAAAACGGCTTTTTGTTGTAAAGTTTAAATCCAAAAGTAGTCCCATGACCAATCATGGATTTGCTATTTGTTAGAAAATGATTTTGAAAGAATTTTCCTATATAATCTTTAAAAATTTTAGTCGGCCATTTTGGCCCCGCCCTACCCCCGGGGGTCATGATTTGAACAAACTTGAATCTCCACTACCTGAGCATGCTTCCATATAAATATGATGAATTATGGTTTTGTCATTCTTGAGAAGAAGATTTTTAAAGAATTTTCCTATATATTTCTATGTAAAATTTTGGTCGGCCATTTTGGCCCCGCCCTATCCTGGGGGTCATGATTTGAACAAACTTGAAACTACACTACCTGAGCATGCTTCCATATACATATGATGAATTATGGTTTTGTCATTCTTGAGAAGAATATTTTTAAAGAATTTTCCTACATAATTCTATGTAAAACTTTGGTCGGCCATTTTGGCCCCGCCCTACCCCGGGGGGTCATGATTTGAACAAACTTGAAACTACACTACCTGAGCATGCTTCCATATATATATATATGATGAATTATGGTTTTGTCATTTTTGAGAAGAAGATTTTAAAAGAATGTTCCTATATATTTCAATGTAAAACTTTTGTCGGCCATTTTGGCCCCGCCCTTTCCCCGGGGGTCATGATTTGAACAAACTTGAAACTACATTACCTGAAGATATTTCCTCATAAGTTTCATTTTTCCTGGCACAGTGGTTCTTAAGAAGAAGATTTTTAAAATATGCCACCAAATTTTCATTAATTCCCAATTATCTCCCCTTGAATGAGGACGTGGCCCTTCATTTGAACAAACTTGAATCCCCTTCACCCAAGGATACTTTTTGGCAAGTTTGGATGAAATTGGCCCAGCTGTTCTTGAGAAGAAGTTTACAGACAGACAGACGGACGCCGGACAAAATGTGATCAGAAAAGCTCACTTGAGCTTTCAGCTCAGATGAGCTAATTAAAGGATGTTTTTTGATCTTCAGAAACAGATCTTCCATCATGTAGTTTCATGTTTTGGATCAAAGGCTGTGCTCTTAATGAAATATTGAAATAAATCATTCAATTTTAGGCCATTTTCAAATGAATTAACAGGATATGGGAAAGATGACGCATTTGATGACGTCATAATGCATTGACAAGTGGAGAATTGCGTAATGTTCAGTTAATGCGCGGTAACCAAGAGTCCTAGTGATAAATTCTGCATTTTCAACCTGATCAACATTGATTTTTCCAAAATTCCCTGGGCCAAAAAAAAAAAAAAAAAAACCAAACCTTTCGTAACTCTTGCTTCTTGTTTTATCTGTAAACCTTAACTGAATTAATTGTTCAGATATTTTATTTTATTGAATTATTAACTAATATTTCTACTTCTTTTTTCGTTTTCCATGACTTTGGAGAAGAATTCAAAGAATTGTCCACTTTTCTAGGCCTTTGAGATGATATGATGTCTTTTGATTGTCTTTGATTGTATAAATTGTTCTTAAGGTAGGGTTCTTCTCTGGTTCCTGACTAATTAAAATATTCAAGTACATTTGCTGATATGTTTTATATATTTGGGCGCAAGAAATTTAACAGACCACATCTTTCTTTCCTCATCACAAATGTACAACTTTAAGTAGAAATCGTAAACCGCCTTAGAAAACTAGCAGGGACTATATTTTGATGGAATGTTGGCGTATGAAAACATATTCTTTTCTGCGTCTCAAAATTATCATATAATAATGAATTATATATTTTTATCTTAGTAAAATCAAAATTTTTGTTTTTGCATCATTTTAAATCTTTATGTGACAACTTTGCCATATAAGAAAATGAAAAAAAAATAAATATAAGAAGCATATAAAAATAACTAATATATCCCAGAAATTTAAGAAAAGTAGAGAAAATTCGGATATACCAATATCCACTTTAGTTTTATTATCTATGTCAATTTGGAAATATAATCTAATAGACCATTTATGGCAGTATCTTTTTATGCAAAAAGAAAACCATTCAATCTTTTGAAATACAAGTACGGATCGCATACATGGAAATAGTAATTTTTTATCAATAATGTCCAGGAAAAGGGTAATGACCTTGACATGACCTTTTTTCTAATACAAAACAAACAAATTTAAGGAGGCTGGGGGGTCAAGAAATAAATCACAAATTAACCACCAGATTTAACTTATTTTTTTTTAGACACTTATCTAAAGCTGTCAACTATCATTGGGCAAAGAAAAAAATCATACATTTTAGTTTTAAAATTTGATCATTTTTGTATATCTCTATATGGAGCTCTTCTTTTAAAGGAGATTGAAATAGTCTGAAAATGGCTGCATGCCACCCCCCAGCCTCTTTAATTTCACTGATACCATCAGTTAATGATATTGTCTTCTTGATTCTGTGAAAATTTCATTAAATTTTAAATACAAGAAATGTGAGAAGAATTCTACCTTAAGACGAAATTGCCTGGTCATATTACCTCCAACCAAACTCTGTTGACCGGCTAGTGACGGATTTTAAATTTGCCATGTACTTAAACAACTGTTGTGTTTGGTCAGATTGAGAACCTAAGTATATCATCATTAACAAAATGCATATAACTATATATGAATGAAGAGAATATCGTTTTGAATTACTGATTTGACAAACTTAAGTAAGAAACCACAAATACCCTGGAATCATGCATATTTGATTCTACAAGTAGGAAAAACAATTTTTATTTGAAATCTTTGGGGTTATTGGTGATCTTAGTGATCTTACATGTACTGATAAAAATCAGCTAAGGGGATTTTTTTCCATAGGTATAACTAGTAGGATAATTATCAAAATAACAATTGAAATGAAATAAATGGAGATAAGAATAATATTAAAGCTCAGAAGTACATTCAAATTTTAAAATCTGGAACAAAGCAAACATACACCTATAAATCATCAGGGATTAGGTGCCATGGAGGAGTTAGAATCCCGTTCCGACCAGTCAAACCGCTGTGTCCGCCTTGTCATATGATTGTGAAATAAAGGGGAAATCCGTCGACAATTCAGCGTGAAGATAATGATAAAGATAATGATGAACGTCAATCAGCATTTCACTTCATGATCGATTTGCAAGTTTACTTTAGAACCTATGAATGGTGACTTTAAGATTGTTGATATTCCCTTTTTTCACTTGTTTGTATATTGGGAATATTTCTTACTTGATTTATTCCGTGAAGTCATGAAAACCAGATTAATTGCGCATTTATTTCTAATAATGTAAATAATAAACAACACATTTCTGTAGGTTATGATTTTATATATTAATTCAGTGTTAGATAACAATTGATTATGCATACGCGATTAAATGAATGATTATTCTTGACATCAAAATCTATAGCACATTAATTTTATTCATTTCTTAGTTTATGTTTATCTAATTCATATAGATTAACATGAACAAAAAATATGGAAAAAAAATGATTGTTGTACTAATCACAAATTCTTTCACATGCTTTTAAAATGTGTTATAGGATTGATGTATATTTAGAGAAAAAAAATTAAAAATAAAGAAGTAATTGTTAAATATCTAATACGTTAAAAACATCCTGAAAGCATCAGACATCTTACAAGGATTCTTTCAAAATAGACGTGGAAATAAATAAAACCACAATTATGTCTTAAAAAAAAACAGTACTGTCTAAAGACGTTAAGAAGATTGATTCTAGCCAGGTTTACACTGGTATGACCCTGTCATTCCCTGTTATGTTGACACCACACTCGATCCATTTTTCGTACCAATTACTGGTCTGATTTGGTGTATATCCTATTGCTCCGAAAGAAAAAGCCTCTCCTCTATTTCTTCGATAGAAACCTAAAATATACACAGTTGATAATATTACTATGAATACCCTTCATTAATATTATTTGTTTAATTCATATATGAAGCTGAAGATAATGACTCTCTTTTTTACAAAAATTGTTCAGATTTATATTCTCCAAGAACATGGATACAAAACAAGACATGTAGTTGCTGAATAAATTAGGAAACATTTTACTGAATGTTTCCACAAAAAAACTTTGAAACACCATACTGCATGTTTCAATCAAAACTTGAAACATTATACTGAATGTTTCCAAAACAAAATTCAAACATTATACTGACTGTTTCAACATAAACTTTGATACATTGAACTGAATGTTTCCACAAACACTAATACATGACTATTATGGCTACAAAAATAGTACATTGCCATGAAATTTAACTATGCCTTCGTTTTTCAACATTTTAGAGAATAAGTATTATTGCTCTACATGTAAATACAAATAAAATGACGACAGAATATTTCGTTTGAAAGTTTTTAAATTCAAGCACAGATTCAAAAAGCATTATAATAGAGATGTTTCTGAATCTGAAACGAATCCGAATCTGACTATGAATCTTCAAAAATATGCTCATCAACTCTAATTTTAAGTCATTTTAAAATGAATTCATCGAATAAATATGCCATAACTGAAAGTTTAATTCTAGAAACATGTATAATTTCAGCAGAATCCGTCCATAGGCTAAATAAGGATATGGAGATAACGAACAGTATTCAATATCCAAGTCCATTAAACAATATACAAAATAAGAGCAGAGCAAACACGGACCTCCGAAACATCAGAGGTGGGATCAGGTGCCATGGAGGAGTGAGCATCCCCTGCCGACCGGTCACACCCGCCGTGTGCTCGTTGTCATGATCAGGAAATAACGGAAAAATCCGTCGTCAATTCAGTGTATAAATAATGGACTAACAATTGGTATGAAAAACGTCACTGCAGCATTTGACGCAATGATAAATTGTATTTGCTGACAAGGTCATTGTATCGACCGTAGAACTTACGAAATGATGACTTTAAACGAGACTGCTGATACTCTTGTTTCATCAACTTGCTTGTCAATAATTTACCTCGTTTAAGACATTGTTCGTACGTAGAGCGTGCTCTTGCGTATCGAATCAATTGAGATATATATACTCCGTATGCAGGTGATGAAGGTATATTGCTGTATAAGTAAGGGAAGTTGACGATAGAAAAGTTAAATTTATCATATAGCTTGGTTGTTAGATACCATTAGTGTCTTTTTTCAAGTAAAATATCCAAATATAGAGCAGAAGTGTCGGCCTCTGTGGTATCTTTTATCTCAAGCTCACCAGGATATATCGTATCGACGTAGGAATGGATATTGCCATTATTAATTGACAATACGTCGTCGATATATCTAAATGTCGAGTTTAAGGCCACAGCAAGTGTTTTCTTCTTTTCACGCATAAGATTTTGCATAAATTCTGCTTCATTTGAATATAAAAATAAGTCTGCTAATAACGGGGCGCAATTTGCCTGGTCTCCAAAAAACCACATAGATATTGTCAATCAGAAACTCAAGCATCTTCTTGATGTCATCTTCAGAGTACTTGTGTGTGCAATCAGAATCGGTTTTAACAAAATAATTTTGCAAATGACCAATGACGAGGTAAGTAAATTTACGGGTTCCATTTTTATTGAAGAAGCAGCTGTCAATGATATCAAAAAGCCTGGATTTTAATTTGTCGTGGGGAATTGTTGTGTATAAAGTTGAAAAGTCGTAAGTTTTTAAGCTGTTGATTTTTGTCAAGTCTTGTGATTTCAAATTGTCCAAAAGTTCTTTAGAATTTTTAAGTATCCACATCTGATTCACACCACTTCTTGAATATATAGTTGCAAAGTACTCTTGATGTTTTTCCTTCACTATTGTCAATATCTTAAGGAGGAGAAACGAAAGAGGCTTGGTTGAACATTTTCTGGAACCTGCAATGTATCTTTGTTTGTAAGGATTCTTATGAAGTTTCGGAATTCAATATATATAAGGTAGTTCAAATTCATTTTGGCTCTGTGGAATATTAAAAGTATTCAAAACTGATAGGTGATTTTGAAGAATTTCTTCCTAAGAAAGGGAAGTATGAGTATATGTAGGATTACCTCTTGTAGAATTAAATCCAAAGTTATTTTCTTGTAGAATTAAAACTAAAGTTATTTTCTCTTTTCACATTGATAGCATATTCTATCATGATCTTTGTAGAAATTGATAGCTGTCAATGATGGCTACACAGTGTACGAATCCAATCGTAAACAAGATGTGTTTGTGAAGCACTGATGCCCCAGTATGGCATCATAGCGAAGGTTAAGCTTTCTCAAATGCAGATCCAATATGTTGGTACCTAAAGTAAGGCCTCTTCACAAGAAATACAAATATGAAATAAAAAAAACCCCTAGCACCACCTGTTCAAAGGTTATGACAAAGGTTAACGTTTTTAAATGTAGGAAAAACTCCAAGGTCAAGGTTGTTGCTTTCTATAGAAAGGTCTTGTCTCAAAAATTACATATGGGAAGTAGGAAAGCGTTGGCACTTACCGTTCAAAAGTTATGGCAAAGGTTCAAGTTTGTAAAAAGTAGGTCAAACTCCAAGGTCAAAGGGTCAAAGTTGATGATATCCAATGAAAGGTTTTGTCACAAGGACTACATATTTCAAGAAGGAAAACTCTAGCCCCTAATTTTCAAAAGTTATGGCCAAGAATAAAATTTGTAAAAAATAGATCAAATTGCAAGGTTAAGATCAAAGGGTCAAAGTTGTTGATTTCCAATGAAAGGTCTTCTCACAAAGATAATATGTGAAGTACCGTTCAAAAGTTATGGCCAACGTTCATGTTTTTCGAAAGTAGGAAATCTCCAAGGTCAAGATCAAATGGTCCAAACTGTCGGTTTAAATGAATGGTCTTGCCACAAAGAATTGATATTTGAAATATATGGAATTCTTATAATCTTTACAAAATAAAATTAGGACCAAAGTAAAAGTTTGGATTTTTTTGTGTTACAAAAGGTCAAACTCTAAGGTCAAGGTCAAAGGGTCAAGTTTCTTTATATTAAATAAAAGGTCTTGTCACAAAGATTAAATAATGAAGTATGAAACCACTAGTCTTAACCCTTAAAAAAATATGGTCAAGGTTGTGTTTTAAAAATAGGTCAAACTCCAAGGTCAATATCAAATGGTCAAAGTTCCTAGTATCTAATAAAGTGACTTTTTACAAGGATTAAATATGTGAAATATGAAAGCCCTTACCTTTACCATTCCAAAGTTATGGCCAAGATTGAAGTTTTTGGATAAATACAGAAATATCCAAGGTCAAAGTTATTTTTACTCTATGGAAGGTCTTTCCACAAAACATACATATATGAAGTTTATAAGTTCTGGTTTCTATTGTTTAAAAGTTATGGCCAAAGTAAAAGTTGGGAATTTTTGAGTAAAAGTGGGTCAAACTCCAATGTCAAGGTCAAAAAGTCAACTTTGGTGGTACCCAAAGAAAGGTCTTGTCACAAGGAATAAGCATATGAAATATGAAAGTCGTATTTCCACTAAATCAAAAGTAATAGGCAAAGTTAAAGTTTTTGCGGACAAGCAGACAAACAGATAGACAGAGAGACAGACAGCTAGACAGAGAGGCAGACGGACACGACAAAAACTATATACCCCCGAGACTTCGTTTACGAATCGATGGTGTATTCTTCGAGGAACTATTTTAAATCATGATATCAACTGATTTTTAAATGCATCCTTGGTACGTACAATATTTTTTCTCACCTTGTGTGTTTGGTGATTTCGCATAGTCTTTAGGCAATACACCGCTTTGGGTTGTTCCCAGAAGTTCACAGTGATCATCACCAGTACCAGCTCGATCAGCAATGTTATAAAATCTTCCAGTTAATGTTTTGCTCAGAAACAGCTTGTATCTTTAAATGTTGAAAGATGAAAAACAATAATTTATTTATTTGATCACAACTCATCATACTGTACTGTATACGTAGTTCTGATTATATATAATTGCCATAAGAACCGATCTCGATATGTCGTCTTCTCTTCTTCTCAAGAACTACTGGGCCAGGAAATGTGAAACTCATGTTGAAACATCCTCAGGTAATGTAGATTCAAGTTTGTTCAAATCATGACCCCCGGAGCAAGGGTGGGGCCAAAATGGCTGATCCAAGTTTTTACATAGGAATACTGTGGAATCATCATTGTTCGTGGGGGACCAATGTTCGTGGCTTTCGTGGGTAACCCTGACCCACGAATTTACATCCCCACGAACGTATATACATTTGGTTTATCATTTGTTAAAAGTTATTTATAAACATCGTAAAATAATTGTCCGAGTGATCTCGCATAAAGAAGACAATCTGCATGTTGTAAATTATTGACACGAAACCAAAATTAAAAAAAACATTAAGTATCAAAGACATCGAGAACTATATACAATAATTAATAAAAGGATAAATACAACTGTTAAATTTAAGTAGTGTTTACATTATAGTCCAACACGCTCAAATGCCCCTTCGATGGGGTCAATTTTTAGTGCGATTTTGGAGTGGGTGCTAATTAGCCAATCAGCATGATTTGGTTTCAGGATAAACGTTTTTAAGTCAATTTTGGCATTGTTGTCGTAGTTCTCATGTCACATGGTGAATTCTAATTAATTAATTAATGTTACTAATAATCATTCCTATCATTCGGCTGTAATTAGTCGGTGCAAGCTGCAGGTACATTTTTGTTTTCACAAGACAGATAACTTAAATAAGCATTATTGACGGGGTTATCCTTCTTTGTTTTAATGTTGGAGGAAAAAAATCGAAATGGAACTTGTTACCAACGAAATTACGCCCCCACGAACCAGGAAATTTTTGGCTACCCACGAACATTGACCCCCACGAATAAAAATGATTCCACAGTATATAGGAAAAATCTTTAAAAATCTTCTTCTCAAGAACCACTGGGCCAGGAAAGATGAAACTCATGTGGAATCATCCTCAGGTAGTGTAGATTCAAATTTGTTCAAATCAGCACCCCCGGGGCTAGGGTGGGGCTAATACGGCCGATCAAAGTTTTACATCGGAATACATAGGGAAACCTTTTAAAATCTTCTTTTCAAGTACTTCAAAACTTTGATTAGTGATATTTATATGGAATCATTGTCAGGTAGTGTACATTCTATTTTGTTCAAATGAAGAACCTTAGTTCTGATCTGATATGCGTTTCTTCCTAGCCGATCTGCTCAGGTGAGCGCTGTGGCCCCTGGACCTCTTGTTTTCATATGCACCTCATATTAAATTTCAAATTTAATGCCGTGATAATAAATCGTTGCTCTTTCTGTTCTCTGTGTTGAAACTTTCATATCATGATCTGGCATTAAAAATATTTCTGAAAAAAATAGCAGCACTTCAAAGTTCAAATTATTTTCCACGTGGCTCTAATGTTATTGTTGATATGAAAATCACTATTATACATTCAAAGTTTTCTAAAGTGAAATGTAGAGCAGAGGGTCGGGATCCCTTAGGAAATGAATATTTTGTCTCATCATTATTAAGGAATAAAATGATATGATAATTAGAAATATCAATACTTTTTTATCTCACAATTGAATTAAAAATATGATGTATATATGAAAAGAAGGTTTAATGCAATACCTATCTAATTCTAATAAGATATCATAATAAGGCCTTGCTTCTTAAATCAGAATATCAAATTCTTTTTGTACTTGTAAAATAATATGCATTTATCAACAAGAGTTATCTTTCCATTATCGCCCTTGAAAATATTTTTAGGGAAACAAAATATTTATTAATTCTTATAAACATTCCTGCATCTGAATTTTCTGAAAAAATTAAAATACTTATACTTGAAGAGATAGACATTTCATTTAATTTCTATGAAATACTTAATGCTGATTGGATAAAAAATTGTTTTGATTTAAGAAATAAATGTAATATGCAAACTTTTTTCCTTTGATCGAAGTATCAAAGAAAAAAAAATTGAACGGAAAACAGCGCATTAATGAAAACGTCTTCCGTTCAATTATGAAATTATGAAATTTATGAAATCATCAAAAACAGTGCTAATGAATATATCACAACAACGTTAACGCTGCTGTCAAAATGGATAGATCTAACTGATAGAAAAAAAACAAGTTCTCAAATTTTCTCGTGTCATTTCCAACCTTCTCAAACAATAATTTACAGTTATTGAACACAAATATCTTACCTGTTGTGTTATTAAATTTTGCTTTATTCCAAAGGGTATATTTTTTCCCGGTAAGTTCGTAAATCCATGCAAAGGGAAGCTACTCAAATATCCTAATAGTTCTAGGTCACAGAAATTTTAATGCAGTTATCATAAGAAATTTATATCCAATCAGAATCAAGTATCTTATAGAAATTAAATGATACCTGCATCAATAGAATCTAGAGTTCACTTGCACTAAGCAGCTGGAACTACTTTGGCAGTCTTTACATGTATATTCCCTCTTCAAGATTACTTTCTCAAGGAATGATTAATTACTTTTCCTTTGATAAATATTTATTAATAAAATAAATATTTATTAATCAATATTTTCCTGAATTTTGAAAAATGACCCTTACGTTCCTGACTTACATGTATTTCATACTTTCGTTTCTTTTTTAATTATCCCCTTTGCTAAACAAACCAAATCGTCTGCATGACAACAATATAGTTATGGGAAAGAATGAAAGAAATCGGCAAACTTGTGTTAAATGATTGTCTTTGAGATAACTTGTATGGATAATAGAAATCTCGAGGAAAAAAATTGAACGGAAAATGTTTTTATCAATGAGCTACTTTTTAAATCTCAATTTTCACAGATTAAAGGAATTTTTTAATAAATGTTTTAGGTTAACTATTATAGATAATTAATGAAAATATTTGCAATCGAAACAAGAAATCAACACCTGTACATTTTATGAAATTTGATTGAGTTGACAATAAAATTGATCCCGATTTAAGAATTCTGTACATTCTGACAAAACAATCCATTGAATTTCATGGAAAAAATGTCTTCAGAAATTTATCTTTTTTACCAGAGGGATATTACACCGTAAAGAAATCTTTGCAAGACATTCATTATCATCAGATTAAATACGGACAATATTAATACCTTGTAGAACTGCATGTCATCACACCGAGATAAGGTGTAGAAGAATAGTTTGTCTTCTTTACGTACTGGGCTCCATCTTCACATCCATTCCAGCTATCGTCATACTCAAAACTATACTGCAACCAACAGTTGCTTGATTCTAAGCAATCTAGTGAAGAGAAAATAATGTGCAGTACATAATATAATTATGTATCTAATGCAAATGTACTGCATAAGAATAATTAATGAAAAAGGCATTAAAGAAAAATAGGATCAACAATGAATAGCTACATGAAATCAAGCTCGTGTAAAAGTGGGTACGAAGAAAAATACTTAATCAAAATTTCTTTAACACTGTTTAAGGAAAATATCCCGAAAATTTATAAATTATCTGTTATAGAGAAAACGTTCAGCTACAACACTAATTTTTAATCAAATACTAGCATCTTCTTTTAAATGTGCAAATTGCATTTGAACAAACGTAAAACAAACAAAAGGGATACTTTTTGACAAGTTTGGTTTGAGAAGTCGAAAATGTGAAAAGTTAACAGACGGAAAGATTGAAAGGCAGACTGACGCAGGACAGAATGTAATTCTAAAAGTTCACTTGCCGATATAAGCCGTCAAATTACAAGTATAAGTAACACTTTCAGTATTTAGAATTAATTGACTTCAATTGTATTACCTGTATCATTTTGCACATGTAAAACTTTCGCAATGATAAAAAGATTGCAGCTTTAATATAAATGTGTACATGGACAAATCTTAAGACAAAATACACTTGAGACTATTTAACATTCCTTAGATTTCTGTTAATTTATTTTGATGGAAACTGAACAAAACACGTATGGGGTTTTCTTCTCTTCCTCTTCTATATCTTCCTCATTTCAATGAGAGAAAAAAAACTTAAGATAATCAGGAAAAAAGTAATATGGAAACAAGGAAAACATAGCATGAAAAATTGAACATATTTCTTACGCAGATTTTAAAGCGACAGATTTTCATCTGGCGAGAAACGAAATAAGAAGCAGTATCATTGCTTCTCAGTAATCAGTATTTTAGGAGTCAAGAATGAAGGTTAAGATTTTATTGTCGTGAAAGTCAAAATCAAGAAAACCAAAAGAAATCTAAAAAAAGACACTTGCAAAATATTCTATAATAGAAAAATTTAAGTTTGAATTATGAGATATTGGATGAAGATAAAACTAATCTCGGTGCAGTTTGCGGTCATTTGAACTTTAGTACACAACTATTATTTTAATCAGATACATGTGTTTTTGATTTATAAAGTAGCTTCTTACTTTACAGATATTCTTCCAGGTTAATATAAGGAATGTTTTAAAGTAGTCTCAAGGGTATTTTGTCGTAAGATTTGTACATATACAAATTTATGTTAAAACTACAATCGTTTTGTCATTGAGAAAGTTGTATATATACAAAATGATACATGGTCAGGTAACACTATTAAAGTCAATGCTTTCTGTGTACTACATAATAGAGTTGCTCATACTTGTAATTTGACGGCCCATATCGTCCATCGTATAAAACATATGGTGTCGTACATGTTCTTCTAATAAATATTTTATATATACTGAAAGGAAAAAGAAACACATAAGAACATAATATTTGAAAAATATTTGTCTATGTGGCCGAAAATTATGAAAATTGGTCATATGTGTATTTTTGTAACTTGGCACTAAAATCGCTAGTCAAAACTATTCAAGCGAAATTTTCGAAATAATGGCTCCATCAGAATGCAATTCTTCATCAGTTAATATGCGTTTCTTTTTCCTCTCAGTATATTAATGCAAAACGTTTGTTAATAGTCAAGGGAACCTTTGAATTAATTACATGTATTTCTATTCATGTTCCTCCCATCACCTGACACATTAAATCTCATCCTCCTCTAATAGGTGATTGACTGATTAATTTTAAATTCTTTTAAGTTGTTTTTTTCGAGAATCGTTAATTCATATGATATGCCACAATATACGGTGAATAGCTGTGAAAGGCTTTAAAGGATGATGTCATTGTGCAAAACCTCCTTCGGTGGAATGCCAAAATATGAAAATAATTATCCTAATTTTAGACTTATATTTGCATAAATTAATTCTTTACAGTGTACCTTTATGGAATACCACTTTACGGAAAATGAGATAATTAAATAACAGATAATACTTAATTTCATTATCAAGAAGGGGTACACTTTTAAAGGTGCATGGACACAGATTTGAAGATAATATTTTTTTGTATAATATCACGACTTATATATTTTAATATTATACATTCATGTAAATTACTTGAATCTGATTCGTCGAGAAACACTACTACCCGCTGAATAATGAAGCCACGCCCCCCAGCTTAGCAACATTGCTTGACGACGGGTAGTATTACAAAAAATAGCGACTGCGCGAAATTTATGCGCGCACGGTTCACTGTAATATGTATTTGTATAAAACATTCAGTATAATATAGTAAATATTGCGCCTCGGTTGACAATGGTTTTCTTGGGGTGAAAATTTTCAATGTTACACTCAACTACATGCAATATTTATCTAATAGCATTTTACACAAAAATAAATTAAAAATCCTATTTTATCTTTTTCACCTTAAACATTTAATTCTTTTCATTTTTAGCTACGCTCCACTTTATCAAGTTAGTAAGATACATGAGCGCATCTCTGCGTGCATATGTAAAGAAAATAATGAAATTAAAAACCTTGCTTTGTCAAAGGCAACTTGTTGATCATAGAAGTGATGTTTTGTTCTAAATCTTCCTTCATCTTCCAAATTTTTTCATATGTATTTTTACTATGGTTTGCTATCATACGTTGCGTTTCGGAAAGTATTTTCTTATCCTCGTTGTGCAGGTCACCCAGACTGGATTGGATTTTTTCCTGTTTTTTAAATAATTTTTTCATTCTTTTTTCTGCAATACAAACGAGTTTAGATTAAGATAAGCAAAAAAATCGTCAATTAACAATGGTAATTCCCATGTGTCGATACGATATACCTGGTGAGCTTGAGTGTAATGGTACAGAGTCTGACACATCTGTTTTATATTTGCAATATACCTTCATACAGAGTTTATATATCTCAGTAGATTCGATACACAAGAGCATACTTTACGTATGAACAACTTCTAAAACGAGGTAAATTATTGACAAATAAGTTGACGAAAGAAGAATTTCTTCAGAATCGATTAAACACAGAAATCATGACGGATTTTCCCGTTATTTCCCGATCATAAGAAGGCGTACACGGCGGGTGTGACCGGTTGGCAGGAGAAACTAACTCCTCCGTGGCACATGATCCCACCTCTGCTGTTTTGGAGGTCTGTGTTTGCTCTGCTCTTATTTTGTATTGTTTAATGTACTTTCTATCTTTATTCTGTTCGTTATCTCCATACGTTTCACTATTTAACACCTGAGAAATGCCTATTAATAACTTTAAAATCTACATGTTATTTTCAATTTTAGAATAATCATGTCAAATGTTACTGGATATTAAGAAAACTATAGCCTGATTAAATTGTCCAAATCACTTTTTCCTCATATGGCAATCAGTTTCAAAACATTTAAGAAAAACTTAAAGGAATCTTAAAAGGTCAATGCAAATGGCATTGAAAATTATGTTTTGGATCTTGATTTTAATCTCTGAGATTAAAGTTATTCTAAAAAAAACATAATAGCTTAGTTAAAAATGAAAATTTATTAGTTCCAGATGTAGTTTGACTTTTCAAATTAGTGAATTGAAAAAGGATTTATTTAATTATTGGTGCTGATAATCTGGAGATCTTGTTTCATAACAAAAATATGAATACCAATGACCATGAAATACAACATTTACATACCTTGGATATCGTACTGAGCTTTGATTTCGTCAGTATAATTACGGAGAAGTCCTACAGATTTAGTGACATTGAGTAAGTCATTCCGTACGTTTACTATCTTCTTCGATGTGTCATTATGGTTTATCTTCATCATCTGTTCCATTTCACTCAACTTTTTATTATACTCATGGTGTACATTCATTAAACTTACGGATGTATCGTTGTGGTCATGTTTCATTTGTTCTATTTCGTTCAACATTTTTTTATCTTCATCTCGAAGATCATCGTAACTTTTTCTTATTTCTGCTGCGTTGGTTTTCATGGCTGCCATTTCATTTTTCACGTTTATCATATCGTTGACCAATGAATACACTTGTTTCAGCAATGAAAGCCTTATCACCGTTTCTTGGTTTATCTGGTTCTGTAGATTGTTAATGACAATTTCTTTTTTCACAATAATGTCATCTTCTGCCTTCTTTTCTGTCAGTGGCGAGTGGGAATCTACGACGGCAAATAATGTCCACAAAATTGTACAGTGTGAAAACATCATTCTTCAAAGCGCAGTATTAAATGGTAACAACTGAATTCTTTAAACGATGAAAAGAAACCCTTTCAGGCCCATGAGCAAATGAAATGATTGGTACGAGACGAAAATATTATATGTGTAAAGCACAAAGAACGATATCTACTCTAAACGGAATTCCCTACACTTTTGAAGTATTTTACGTGATAATAGAAGATAATTTAAGGAGCTTATCAAAACAACTTAGACGCAAAAACACTTTGCTTCTTAAGTACCTTTATGTTATCTTTAAAATACAGGCCAACGTAAGTAAAATTTTACGACTTTGAATCTTAAGTTCTATCATCTACAACAGTTTTAAACACCTGTATAAAACACTTGCAAGATCTCATAATATTTTCTATGCCTAAAAAGTATTATTGTAGAGACTTTGATTTGACTTTTTACTCTGTAAAAAGAAAACCTGCTGTTCACGACAAGTGTTTAATTTCAGTTTCAGGTTTACTAAGTTAATGTTCCTCTACAATTTTATATCCATAAAGTATTTATGGATATAGAATATAATATATACTTCAGCTTTTTTTTTTTATAAATTACCTTTAGTTGTTACCCTAGAATTTGTATTTTTAGTTGACCACTACATATAACCTGCCAGTATCAAGTGTTTTTTTTTATATTTAAAATGTTTTTATGTTGGAAATACGTTTTATAGAATTACCAAAATGAGTGATAAGTAATCAGTAACTTGTACATTTCCAAGTTTCTTTGCAAGAATAAGTGAATTTTTTTCATAAATAGAAAAAGATACCATTTGATTTCAACTGCTCAACATATTACTTAATTTATATCAATTTCAACTGTGTTTCCTTACATCATGTTTATGACGTATCTAAAAACACAAATTGCTAATGCTTGTAATGAGAGTGTGAAGTTTTTTTTTTAAAGATTCGTCATAAGGAAAAACTAAGAGGATTAAGTAGTATACACATTGTAGGTCAATTGATATGGCTAGACATTACATATGTCACAGATTTGTAGATTTATTTAAGGGACGCAAGCTGATAGGTATTGCAGTTTTCTTATTAACATTGAAATCTCTTTGTCGGTTTTCAAAATCATGAAAATTAACTTTTCTGCAGTTCTTCTGTTTGAATGAATAAGTTTCAGCTATTAAGCAATCCAGCGAGTATTGAACAAAGTCTTGTGCAATCAGAGTTGAGTTTATTATTATTATTTTTGATAAAGCTTATATAATGAATTAATATTTCTTCACATAGGGCAGCTTTGTTAGTTTAAGAGTTGTTCCAAAATGTGTTTTATAAACGAGCCTTTTGAGAGTAAAGCATTAGAAATACTAGTCATCAACCTGTAAAATGGTGTAATAAGGTTCCCATTAAATTAAAAAAAACCAGCATTTCTCTAAAAGATCATTGTTACAGTTTAGCGGAATTAAATTCGAACTTGATCTGTACTCATCAAGATACATCCGCAAAGCAAAAATCAGCTCATATGCAAGCGTTCAGGAAAAGAAAGTGCGGATATTTTCAATAATTTAAAAAGCCGTATTTCCCTCTAAACTAATCAGAACGAAATTGAAACTCATACTGTAACTTGTCAATATACATTCACATACCAAATAAATTATCTGCTTAGTATCTGCAAGTCTACAGAAAAAAGTGCGGAAAAACAAGTGGGAAAGACTGACAGACTGACAGAGGAGTAGACAGCGGACGGACAGACACAGAGGAAACGTAAATCCCTTCCGGTTTTACGGGTAGGGGACTAAGAAACCGGAAGGGGCAAATACAATTTATTCAATACAATATAAAACTAATGTCAAAATAACTGTGTCTTACTTCCATTCTTAATATTATGTAGTGAAGTACATCCCTGGAAAATTTCACGTAGCATTATTATTTGCTGATGAAATGTATTTTTTTTTAAATTGATAAGAGCTGATGCTGGTTTGCATATACTAAACTTGATACTAATTATACTATAAATTTTAATTTATAACAAATTAAGAGCGAAATGGAAATTCTTATCTTTTATATAAATTTTCGGCAAAGCTTTCCAAAATGTACATACTACCTTGAATAGCATGAAGAGTAGTTCAAATGTTCAAAGGTGACACAATCTGAAAATGATACTTCAGCTGTATGAGTATATATGTAAAAGTACAAGACGAATATAATATCAAACTAAAGTTGGTTGAATTGCACTTACTTAAGTCACGGGGAACTCTTTTTACATTTACGTCTCTGTGTCTTTTACAATAATGCTTGTCATAGATAGCTATGGCGAAGCTGTACTAACTAATGCCAAATCTAGCTAAAATGTAAGTAAGGATAGTGTTGAAGAAATTTAAATTTATCAGGATTTGACTCAGAGGCCAGTTTCATCTGTTTTATTTTATTCAGCATTTTTAAAAATTTCATTGCAGATCATCGGTACTCTTTCGTGTTTCTTCTGCATTGGTCTGCATGGCTGCCATTTCATTTTTCACCTGTATCATGTCCTTGACCAATGAATACACTTGTTTTAGTAATGAAATAATTATTTAATGATTATTGATTATAATGATTTATTTGGAACTGTATTATTAAAGACAAATTCATTTTTTATCACCTATTCCATCTTTTGCCTTCTTTTCCGTCAGTGGCGAATGTGAATCTACCTTGACAAATAATATCCAAAGATATGCACAGTTCAAAGTTAGTTATTTGTAATATATTGTGTTTTAGCGATAGATTAGATAATTTTCATAGCCTATTTAAACAATTGATATGCATAAACACTTTGCATCTTAAGTACTTATTTCTTATTTGATGTAGTACAGGAAAATACGTGCTTCAGGACTCTTGTACCAGGCATGAATAAAAAAAGACGCATGTTGACTGATCAGTGGTGGTTTCTTTGATATGTACATTGCCTATTTCCATCAATTTTAAGTTATCAAACAAACTTTGATTTTTCATGTATAATTTTGGATCAAGCGCTGGTTGTACACAACTTTTATCAATTTGAAAATAGACAAAAATAAAACATATTACTAGAAATGCTTCTATGTACTTCAGTTTATCAAAAGAACTTTTAGTGATACGAGTTTCGGCGCCATTAGTAAAAAATGTGGAACATTTACATTCTGTACGTAACACAACCAAATTGGCGTTCCTCTTTCCCCATTTCAATTATGTAAAATTAAAAGAGCAATTAGTTAACATTACTGTTAACCACAAGAATTTGATAAAAGTAGTTTCAAATTTACTTTCAGATTTACTAGGTAAGTGATGCTTGAGAATCAGATTCCGAGATAATCTGTTACAAGTACTTCAGCTTTTATGATTTGTCTCCAGCACTCAAATGTGCACTTTTAGTTGACCACTTAAAATAGTGTAAAATAGTGGCTATTGATTCCCAATACCTTCGTCCGTTTTAATAAAAATTATGTTCTACGTAATCAAGATATTTCGAATAGGTATTTTTTTTTTAAATTTGAATTTGATTTTTATACAGCTAATTCAAAATCTTCATTTGTTTGTTGGTGATGGTCGTCACCTTGTTTGAGATATTTTATTATTATGTTCAGCGAATTCATCTATTTAATACAGCGATTTAAAAAAAAAAGTAGAACACAAAACACACCTTTAGCATCAAACGGCTTAATCTTATCTTTGTCACTTCTGTTTCAATTGGGAGTCCTTTCCTAAAGTATGTTGAGTAAGTATTGACTAAGTTAAAATTCTTCTATGTGTTACGAGAGAGTAGGATACTTCTTATTTTTTTCAGAAAAAACCAAGAGAGCTAAGTAGCAGAATACCGGATGACTGGTACATTTGTAAGTAGATGTCAACATAAGTTTGATCTGTACATGAGTAGAAAAATGGAGTTTTTAAAAATGACATTTCTCTTTATACATAGTCTCTCTCTTTTTCTCTTTCTCTCTCTCACTATGTGTATGTTTGTGTGTTTGAAATATATGGATGAAATATATAACATAAATAAATAAGTTAAATCGAGGTTGTTTGAATAGTTGAGTGCAGACATAGTCAGCCAATTTGCGCATATTAAAAATTGCTTTAACTTCAACAACCCGGGCATAAAATGCGGATAAAGATATGTAACATTCCCTTTATTTTGGTAGTTCAACATAAAAATACCATATGCACACTATCAAATACTTTGACATTCTAAAATATATTTACTTATGATCCCATATCTCCCATATGATTATAATAGCAAAGTCTATGTTCTGCTCTGGGAGACGCGAAAAAAAGTGTCATAACTGAAAGTAAAATATGAGTTGCACAGTGGCATTCTGTAATAAAGGATCTTTAAAAGTAGCATTACATTGTATCACGCGGTATAAAAGGAGTTGCAGATAAGAGATGGATACACTTTAATATTAAAGGAAGAATGGCAGTTTCAATGTTTTGCAATGGAAAACCTAACATATGTGTCCAATCAAAAAGTAAAATTGAAGGTGCACACCGGTACTATCTAACAAAGATTCTGTGAAAGTTTGATTAAATTTCATTTGGTGGTATGAGAGGAGTTGTGAATAAGAGATGGGTAACCCAAAGCGTAGCGGACGGACGGAAAGACATCATTCGCTTTATCGAGACCTTGGTTACATAGATTTCGTTTAGATTTATGCACAGGGGCATCTTATCCACTCTGTTCTCTACTTCACATATAAAAATACACAAGGGAAGAATCGAAAGTAGCACACGATTTTTAAAAAAAGTCAAAAAACAACTTACTTGAGAAAAGTTACACAAATCCTGAAAGGAACTAGCGCAAATAATGTCCTAGTACTTATCCAGGCTAAAATATTCCAGATATATCCATCGTAAATAGCTTTTATCCAACTAAAACCCCAGCTTTCTGCACAGTGTGAATCTCTACGCCCAAGAAAAGATAACTCACCCGGATGACAATAGGGTAGTACCTCGGAAGGCCTCGGGTACTACCCTATTGTCATCCGGGTGAGTTATCTTTTCTTGGGCGTAGAGATTCACACTGTGCAGAAAGCTGGGGTTTTAGTTGGATAAAAGCTATTTACGATGGATATATCTGGAATATTTTAGCCTGGATAAGTACTAGGACATTATTTGCGCTAGTTCCTTTCAGGATTTGTGTAACTTTTCTCAAGTAAGTTGTTTTTTGACTTTTTTTAAAAATCGTGTGCTACTTTCGATTCTTCCCTTGTGTATTTTTATATGTGAAGTAGAGAACAGAGTGGATAAGATGCCCCTGTGATTTATGTCATATTTAGATCGAGATAATGAGGGTTGACTTGTAACTAGATATGTTTACGCTAGTTCCCAGATCCGTTTACAGCTGCTACGTAGACACTTGTATCAGAGCATCCTTAGAATTACTGGAAACGGATATTTTTCATTTTAAAAAGAAACTTAAGCAAATGAGACAATTTAAAGCTGATTTTTAGATTCCATTTTAAATAAAAATCTATGCAAACTTTTACTTAAGGACAGATGAGACGTTCCTTAATAATAGATAAATTTTTCTAAGAGTTTGTCAATGAAATATTGCTACTTAAACATGTTTACTTACAAAAAAATGAGGTACCTTACCAGGCATTTCTGCAAGATACCAGGGGTAGTTTTTCGTATATAATCTTTTGGGGAAGAAAAATAATTTTCCAATTTTAAATGTTTAAGTGTTTCTATCTTTTAAAAACGTTTAGAAACTGGTTTAGAAATCAGAATGTTATTAAAATTTTGAATATTTTTCATACGTTACGAAGATATACAAAACAGATTTTGAGGAAGGTCTCGTCTGACCTTAATGTTAACTTTGAATATAATCTGAATTTTAGGGCCAATACGCCATTTTGGTTGCAGGTCACTTTCCAAAAAATACCAAAAACGTCATTAGAAAAAGTCCAGAAATCCGTTCAACAGAGCTTGCGCTCGCGAATATTTTTGTTGGAGGTATAAACGATTTTGACGAGCGCTCGCGAACATTCGCTGTATAGAACATACCTCAAAAATGCCTGCCGTACAACTGATCAAGGACGAGGTGAATTTGAGTGAAATTCTGTAATATGTGTGAAACGCAGAAAGTAAACTGTGTCTACCGATAGATAGTTTTCGATGGACGATATTTAAGCAAGGGCTAAATTTGTTCCCTGTTGGTCACCGTATTGGATGATAACAAACCCGAGTTTCTTCATTTTCCTATCAATTTAAAATTGTCTTATTGGCTAATTAATTAAAAATTTTACAATTTCTTTTTTTAACACAAGCTTCCTTTAAGCTTCCTTTAAATGTAGATTTTATGTATTTACCATACAAGTTAATAATAAAAGTGGTTGATGAAAGAATTAGACATTCAAGATGGTGGTCAAGGGAAGTAACACGCAGGAAAAAAACGGCAAACGAAAATCAACGAAAAAAACCCGTATGTATGACATTTTGCTCACCTTGCAGAAATACATGAGTTAAACAAAAAGAAAGTATTGGAATCTCATTCAATACTCTAAAGTCAAAGAGCAGCTTTGTACTTTTATCACAAGGAATACAGATAGACATCATTTCATAACTTCTTTGGTCGATACCAGGTCGATGCTCAGACCAGGTCAGCAAATACAATTTATTGTTAAGTCAAATGCTGACTGAGGTTTTTCATATTTATTGTTAGTCCATTATTTATACATTGAATTGAAGACAGATTTTTCCGTGATTTCCCGATCATGTCAAGGAACACGCGGCGGGTGTGACCGGTCACTAGGAGATGCTCACTCCTCCATGTCACCTGATTCCCCCTCTGATGTTTCTAGGGTCAGTATTTGCTCTGCTCCTATTTCATATTGTTTTATGGACTTTGATATTGAGTACTGTTTGTTATCTATATCCTTCGATGTACTAAATCTCAATCAGCTGAAAATTGCTTTGATTTTTTTTTGCATCATTTAAAAAAAAAAGTCTTTTCAAATGATGTCAGTAAATACGTTTTTCTCATTTTTGTTTTATAATATTGTGAAGTATCGGTGGTACATATTGGCATGGTGTAAGCATTTACAGAGAAAGCTGAGTAAATAATGTTACATACTCATAATGTTAACGCACTTCTTCTACAAAAACCTCTTCAAGGTTATAACTACAATTATGTTCATTATAATTATAAATTACTACATTTAAAGCAACAAAAAGGGTTATTCATGGAGAAATACTTGTGCATAGCCCAAAAACACTGCAGAAAACGGTATCATGTGTCCAAAAAATAGTTCTTTGAGAAATATTTAGCTTATAAAGGACAAAGAATATATTTGAAGTAGGGATATTAAATCTTTTGAAAAGAATCGTAAATATAGGACAGAATAAATTGCAATTCTTTTTTTTGTTTAAGGACTATAATTTGAATTTACAACTAGCGGAGCGATACTTAACCTTACTTACAGTTTATATATACATTCATTGTAAATCACCGCATTAAGTGAGAGATATCTACGAAGCATAAACTCCTTATATCTACACATCAAAACAATGCAATTTTTTCAGCATCTCCTATGTTGGATGGCTATATCTATGTCGGCATCACATTCGCCTTTGACGGATCTGAAATCCGAGGCGAACTCAATAACTGTTGTGTGTTCAAACGAATCAGTACGGGAAGACATACACCATCTAAAGCAGCAACTGAGTCAGGAAACTTTAATACGAATGTCCCTCGTCCATCAGATGTCTGCGTTTGTCAATGAATTGTTAACAGTGAAAAAAGATATGACCAGTGTTCTGGTGAAGATGGAAGAAGTTGAAAAGAGTCACGCTGATATTCAGCTTGAAAACCAAAAAATGCGCATGGAATTGGACAGATATGTCAAAATGAACAATACTGTCCGTGAAACATCACACGAAAACACAAAGCTTCATGCAGACCTTCGCTCAGCCGTAGAAGAAATCTTAATTCATAACTATACAACTGCAGAATTCACGACCGAGGAACTTGCCAAGGGTTTGTTAGTTTTATACGCTCATTTTGATGCATGTAAAGATTAATTGACGGTTATAAAATCAATCCTTTTTGGTAAATGTTATAGAATGCTACGGGATTTAACAATATACTTAATAGAGTTAAGGCACATGAAATTGTGACCACTGAAAGTGGGAAATAATACTTTCCAGTCTGTCTGCCCGTCTGTTTGTTATTCTTTCTGTATGTAACACTTTCGTTTCCGCGGGATATCTCAAGAAGCATTCGATATTTGCAATGAAATTTTTACCAGGTTGTTAATTGTAACAGGGACCATTACAGATGTTCCCCAAATGCTCCCCATATCCTGTTTTGTGCCTAATTCCAGTATGACTTTTTATAAGCTCAGCATCGAAAGACTTCATAAAAGAAATAGAAAAGTTATATATCGCAACTATCTGTTATTTAACGTTTTGCGTGCGCACGTACATGCATGTCCTTGCATTATATTTTGATAGTAGCATAATGTAGGAATCCATTATATCTATTCATATTCTAAATTTCTTTCTGTTTTATTGATAACCAAGAAAGTTATAGAAGAGGGAAGGGGATACAGACTCTCTGAAATAGCTTGTTAGTTAAACATTCATGGTAATAAACTAAGCAAAGGTGTTCGTGGAGGTTGAACAATTCAGAAGAAAAAAAATGTCTCGTTTGTAATATATTTTATAAAATGTCTTCATAATTACAGTGCAAAAAGATATGTCCGAGACACTAGGCAAAATACAAGAACTGGAAAACAATGTTACTGATCTTAGACTTGAAAATCAACGATTGCAAAGGGAGATAGACGAAAAAATAATGGGACATGAAAAGGAGGATGATACAAACCTACAAATGATTAAGGAATTACAGAAAGATTTCAGGAATATGACGTCAACTGTAGAGAGCTTACGTAAGTAAATTTTGAAAAAGGAGAAGTCATTCAATTATACTTAAAAGTAAACCTCAAAAATTTCTTTGAATTGGATTGAATATGGTATAAAAGATGAAAATATACATGTATATTGAAGACTTGAAAAATCTTACTAAAATTAATTAAGCTGCATTTGTTTTCTTTATCGATTCTATGTTCATATCTTATGTTTCATGATTAAATGTAATAATTCAAAGCCATTTACGAAAGGTTTTTAATCCTTCTAGTCATTTATTGAAAACTATAACCGGATCTTGTTTGATTTATCTATTCAATATCGATTATAATTACCACGTAGCGTTCATTAAATCAACAGGACCTCAGATGCTTCCTTCGTTTCACGCCCGACTTTCGCGCCCTGTGAGAAAGATTGGCTTCTACCAAACTGTTATCTTTGACTTTGAAGTTGTGGACACAACTAATTCCTACGATCCACGGTCTGGAATCTTCACTGCGCCAATAACTGGAACATATGTCTTCTTCTGGAATATATTGTCCACTGAAGCCTCAGGAATGGACACTACATTGGATTCCTCACAAGGAGCTTTAGGATTTGGATTTGTCAGCCATGCTGTAAATTTTGGAAATGGGGGAAACTTGGTGATAGCAAATTTGACTTCTGGAACGCATGTTTGGGTAAAGAAAGCCGACAGATATGGCAATTACATGCACGAGAGATTTTCGACATTTTCTGGTTATCTTCTACATGCATCAGGTTAATGTGAACTTTGTTCTGGTCAATAAAGTTGTAATGGAAAAATACATGTAGTACTATGAATTCAATAAAAAATTATGCATCTCTAAGTTTTATTGTCAGATTTGTTCTGTGTGTATGGTGCGTTGTGTTATACTTTTAGTATTTAAACGGTTACCTTCATTGTTTTAACTAAAAAGCATTGCGAGCTCTTAAGACAATGCCTGGGCATAAAGAAAGTTCAGAATGTACAGAAAGAGAGAGATTCTTTTAACGGATGTAATATTCCAGGTCTTTCTTCTCTATAGCACCTGGCACCACCTCTGGTGTTTTAAAGAGGCTCGTGTCTGCTCTGCTCCAAATTTGTATTGTTTCAATGGGTTTTTTTTACTGTGCGTTATATATCTCCATATTTCATTTTAATGATGGTCGGCACTTTCAGTTAAGACTTAAGTTGTACAGTAGTACATGTATGTGTAAAAATTAGTAAATCACCTCATGATAATCAGTTACGTTTCGAATCAAAATAAAGTGTTTAGAAATTTTATTATTTTTACAAAATTATTTTACATACGACATCTAATTTATATTTTGCCAAGCCACAATTTACATACAACCTTTTCAATACAGTATCTTTGTCGCACTAGTGTATGCGATAAGCATCACAAGGTCGAAAGTAATGACCTGTTCACACGCCAAGTTTAATTTGCAGTAAATTAATGCGAAGTAAACTAATGCAAATCAAACTAATGCGCATTAAATTGCGTTCACACGACAGCTAATGCGAAGTAAACTAATGCGAATTAAAATTTTACTTCGACAGTCAGGCGTGAGGAAAGTTATTATGACGTCATTTACAAATCACGTCATTTTATGCAGAAGCAGATGCATTTGACATATTGTCACAGTGGAGACATATTTTAGTGATAAAACACATTTTTTCTTAGTTTTTTCACTCAAAAATAGCACAAGTACTTAAAGCTGACCACCGACAAGACGCATTTGACTTAATTTTGCCATTACGCATGCCCCAAAATTTAATTCGAATTAGCTTCGCTTAGCGTTCACACGGAGCTAATGCGAAGTAATTTAATGCGCAGTAAACTAATGCGAAGTAAACTAATTCGCATTAAATTCTCTGTGTGAACGCCAAGCGAAGCTAATTCGCAATAAACTTACGTTTAATTCGAATTAAACTCTCCGTGTGAACAGGGCATTAGTATGATTATCCATATGTGACCCCTACAGATAGATAAAAGATTAAACGTTCTCTTTTAAAACTGCATTTTTTCTGACACCCTTATGGATATACAACCAACATACTAGGTCAAATGGCATCACAATCTAGAGCTTCCAAATGTCTTGTGTGGTTGGATGCAGGAACCTAAGTTAAAAATGAATAGATATCCATCACTGCACTCGCCATTATTTTTGCATCGGTATCATCATTTTAATTGATGTTTATGTTTTAATCATGATGGAGGAAGAACCTCTAAACAAGTATTGTAGTATTGAAAAAGTATGCAAGAAATAGTAAAAAAGATGCAAATGGTATGGACTGAATTTATTTCTAATATTTAATCTTATTAGAATGTTTGAAAACTAGTTCATATATAACATAAATTTGAACAAAAGAACACGCACATATAAACTCCCATAGTAGGGAATTAAGATCCAAGGAGGCTTTATAGTTGTTTAAAATTGTTTTGATGAACTCTGAAGTGCATTTTGTCTTAACATTTAATCGTTTTGGTCGTAAACATTGCGGCCTGAGGAGTAACTCTTTAATAAGAAGTGTCTAAGTTCTTCCTTGATTGTTTTCTAGTACATGTTTGTGTATAATATAATTATAGAGATGGGATTTCCAAAATACATCATTACTAAGACTTTTAAAAGCATTTTCAGAACACATATGAAATAATAAAGGTAGTCTAATCCTCAGGGTCTGAAAATCATCAAGAAGTAATGGAAATGTTTTACAAATATTGTCACCGAATTCACAAATTCAGAAAGGTAATCTTCTAATCTTGTTCATATTTTAAGTTCTTAAGTATGCAATGAATTAAATTTTTGATGGCATTTAACAAAATCAGTTAAATAGCTTAAAAGATGTTTTAATATGTTACTGAAAATGTTTGTTACCATAATATGTAACATAACATGAAACTTTTTTTCTCCAAACTGGAATGCTTTGGGTGTAAATTTTGCTCCTGAATTAGCTTCCTCGGTTGTTTATACAGGTTAGTAGGTATACTGTGTACATCCCATAAACACGTCATAAATAAAGTGAATCGTACATGATTTTTGACAAATGATAATGAAATGCATGAAATTATTTATGCAAATACTTTGAAAAAAATTGAGGGATTGATAAACGTGATATCAGGGTGATTAAAAAAATTAGCGAAAATATGAAAAATAACATCCCCTCGCAAAGAGCGTGTCTATAAATCGAGACAGCATTTGAAATCGACGACGATGCAAATAACGTCACTTCCGTTTTGTAGAAGAACAAACTAACACACAAACAATAAACACACACACAAACAAACACCCTCACACACACACACACCCTCTCCCTCTCACACACCCTCTCACACAGCCACTCTCACACACAGCCACCCTCCCTCTCACACACCCACTCTCACACACACCCACTCCCACTCACACAACTTCTCACACAGCCACTCTCACACACAGCCACCCTCCCTCTCACACACCCTCTCACACAGCCACTCTCACACACACCCTCTCCCTCTCACACACCCTCTCACACAGCCACTCTCACACACAGCCACCCTCCCTCTCACACAGCCACCCTCACACACAGCCACCCTCCCTCTCACACACCCTCTCACACAGCCACCCTCACACACACCCTCTCACACAGCCACCCGCACACACACCCTCTCACACAGCCACTCTCACACACAGCCACCCTCCCTCTCACACAGCCTCTCACACACAGCCAGTCTCACACACAGCCACCCTCCCTCTCACACATCGTCTCACACAGCCACTCTCACAGACAGCCACCCTCCCTCTCACACACCCTCTCACACACCCTCTCACACAGCCACTCTCACACACAGCCACCCTCCCTCTCACACATCCTCTCACACAGCCACTCTCACACACAGCCTCCCTCCCTCTCACACACCCTCTCACACACAGCCACCCTCCCTCTCACACATCCTCTCACACAGCCACTCTCACACACAGCCACCCTCCCTCTCACACACCCTCTCACACACAGCCACTCTCACACACAGCCACCCTCCCTCTCACACACCCTCTCACACAGCCACCCTCACACACCCTTGAACGTTACTGTATCCCCTCCAACTCCGTTGTGAAGGGATGATAAGCACAATACATACATGTGACATTTTAAAAGATAATTTATTTATGCAGCAAATTAATAAGCTGTTTCTAAAATGCGTGTCAAATAACGTTGGAAAAAAGTAAGATTTAAAAATTGTTTTCTTAGAACTTAAAAGGCATTTTTTTGTTTTGCCTGCAAATAAAAAATTCCAAATTTCTCTTTTAGTTTCACGTTTAACTATGAACTATTAACTAAATCACAACTTTTTAGAATCTCTTATGTTTGAATGTCTATAGGTTGAATATGTTTGACTAAATCTGATGATGTGATTAATCTAAACTCAGAAAGCTGAAAATAGAGATTAATGTTGCAACCACTGTGATGAGTAAGGTTTAAACAGTCTGCATCAGTCTTCTTAACAAGAAAACATTATCCAAATGTATACACAGTGGTTTTAAAAGCTGAAAATTCATTTTATTAATTGTATTCATTTATGTGTACCAGTAATATCACAAAAAAATTAATGAATGAATAGAAATTATAAAAAAAAATCAAAATAAGCAAGATTTTTTCTTCATATTTACATATTTTGTGGAAAAAATTTAGGTATTTAAAATTTACTTTTTCGCATTTTTTGTACATATTTTGTGAAATGTTTTTTTGTTCATGATAGGTATTTAAATTTGCTTTCCCCTCTTTTTCTTGTCAATTCAACTACGTACAGGAGACGTCGTTACTATCCACTCGGAATTGATAACATCAGATCAAGTTAGCAATAGAAATTATTTTTAGATAATATTTAAATTAGAAACATTTATGGGTTATGTGAATTTAATTTTCAGGTGTTCTTATCTTCTAATATTAAACCTTGACAAATATCATCTATAGACCTAATGTTCATGAGATGTTAACAAACTAATTTATTTTCAAATTAAGCAATTTACTATAAGCAATGATATTTTGATATAACAAAATAATTACATTTATTATGAGCCTATTCATGTAACTATACTAGTAACTATACTTTGTCTAACTAGTCTTTTTGCAAATTGTGCATGTAATAACATTAAGAGAGAGAGAGAGAGAGAGAGAGAGAGAGAGAGAGAGAGAGAGGTATAATTCTAGTATTAATGGTGTTTTACGTTTCATTTTGCTTTTATGGAGAAGTTTCAGACGCTCTGTGCTACAGAATATTCTGGGTGTTACTCAGATGTGGATTCTCAAAAATCTCAAAGAACTTTTAGACAAGTTTATGTTTGCCAAATCTTTCAAAAGTCAGTAACATCAACACCTAAAACTTCTTCACACTTTATACAACCATTCCTCGAAACCAAAAATAAACGAAGCTTTTTGATATCAAACACAACTGTTTCTTCAAAAATAATTAAAGCAGGAAATTTTTCTTTCCTTTTTGTTTGGTCATCAACAAAATTACTTTGTAAAAGATAACTCTCACTGATTCCTTACACAATTACTATAAAGTTGATATCAAGAGGATGCTGTAGTTAATCATTGACAACATTTATGTAGTATTCGGAGACTGACAAACTGTGAAATCTGATGGACACTTATTGTGCTCCTCTATTAGCTGACTTGTTTTTATTTCCAATGAACCTGAATTCATTCAAAAAGTTCTTAATGAGAAGAAAGCACTTGCTGTGGCCTTCAACTTGACAATAAGAAATATCGACGAT